TGACATGAATATGAAGGCTCAGCGTTTGTTGTTTGAATGTCATGCCTAAGTTTGCTAATCTTATCAACAAAAAAGTGATTAAAGTGATTGGCAATATCAAAGGGTTTTGTTATGAACAAGCCATCTGCCTCAATGAAGGATGTTCGTTTTTTCAAACTGTTCACTTTTTCAAAATGTTCGCTTTTTCAAAATTATGTAAATGTTTATTTGTATCTTTGTTCCATAGTATAGATTCTTCTTCTTTTTGTTTAGTTACGTGATTTATCAATGTACTGTACGGGTTGCCAGTCTGCTGCGTCGTCAGACGTATTTGCTACTGCCTTTGCCTCGTCCCTCTCAGCCATACCGTTTTTCATATTCATCATCTATCCATGGGGATTTGGCAGCTCTAACAGTCAGTTTATTGATGGGGCGCATGCCTGTCAGTAACCGGAAGAAGCAATTTCATAAATGCTTCAAGTGCGGCGTCAGGTTGTTCCTCAATACACACATCAGACCAACAAATATTTTTCATCATCTTCGACATAGGAATCTTTGCAGAACTTCGTGTATGATCGCTTATACACAATTTTAGGACCCGTTTGGAACTTAGTTTTTTCTAGATATGGCTATTATATTATGATCACTACATCCGATGGGTGTTGATACTGCTTTAGAGCAGATCTCTGCCGCATTAGTAAAGATGTGGTCAATACAAGTGGATGATTTAGTTCATGTTCTGTTTGTAAATACCCTGGCAGGTTGACTGATGACCTGAACCAGGTTGCAGGCACAGGTTATATTTTGAAGCTTATTTTTTGTGTGGACAGCTTGTTGACAACCAGTCAATATTTAGGTCACCCAGAAAATATACCTCGCTGTTGATATCACATACATTATCCAACATTTTACACATATAGTCCAAATACTGACTTTTAGGACTTGGTGGTCTATAGCAACTTCCCAGGAGAATTGGCCTTAGGTGAGGCAGATGAACCTGTAGCCAAATTACTTCCACATCATCTGACATGAGATCCTCTCTCAGCCTAACAGGAATATGTCTCTGGATATACAGTGGGGGAAAAAAGTATTTAGTCAGCCACCAATTGTGCAAGTTCTCCCACTTAAAAAGATGAGAGAGGCCTGTAATTTTCATCATAGGTACACGTCAACTATGACAGACAAAATGAGAAAAAAAAATCCAGAAAATCACATTGTAGGATTTTTTATGAATGTATTTGCAAATTATGGTGGAAAATAAGTATTTGGTCAATAACAAAAGTTTCTCAATACTTTGTTATATACCCTTTGTTGTCAATGACACAGGTCAAACGTTTTCTGTAAGTCTTCACAAGGTTTTCACACACTGTTGCTGGTATTTTGGCCCATTCCTCCATGCAGATCTCCTCTAGAGCAGTGATGTTTTGGGGCTGTCGCTGGGCAACACGGACTTTCAACTCCCTCCAAAGATTTTCAATGGGGTTGAGATCTGGAGACTGGCTAGGCCACTCCAGGACCTTGAAATGCTTCTTACGAAGCCACTCCTTCGTTGCCTGGCGGTGTGTTTGGGATCATTGTCATGCTGAAAGACCCAGCCACGTTTCATCTTCAATGCCCTTGCTGATGGAAGGAGGTTTTCACTCAAAATCTCACGATACATGGCCCCATTCATTCTTTCCTTTACACAGATCAGTCGTCCTGGTCCCTTTGCATAAAAACAGCTCCAAAGCATGATGTTTCCACCCCCATGCTTCACAGTAGGTATGGTGTTCTTTGGATGCAACTCAGCATTCTTTGTCCTCCAAACACGACGAGTTGAGTTTTTACCAAAAAGTTATATTTTGGTTTCATCTGACCATATGACATTCTCCCAATCCTCTTCTGGATCATCCAAATGCACTCTAGCAAACTTCAGACGGGCCTGGACATGTACTGGCTTAAGCAGGGGGACACGTCTGGCACTGCAGGATTTGAGTCCCTGGCGGCGTAGTGTGTTACTGATGGTAGTCTTTGTTACTTTGGTCCCAGCTCTCTGCAGGTCATTCACAAGGTCCCCCCGTGTGGTTCTGGGATTTTTGCTCACCGTTCTTGTGATCATTTTGACCCCACGGGGTGAGATCTTGCGTGGAGCCCCAGATCGAGGGAGATTATCAGTGGTCTTGTATATCTTCCATTTCCTAATAATTGCTCCCACAGTTGATTTCTTCAAACCAAGCTGCTTACCTATTGCAGATTCAGTCTTCCCAGCCTGGTGCAGGTCTACAATTTTGTTTCTGGTGTCCTTTGACAGCTCTTTGGTCTTGGCCATAGTGGAGTTTGGAGTATGACTGTTTGAGGTTGTGGACAGGTGTCTTTTATACTGATAACAAGTTCAAACAGGTGCCATTAATACAGGTAACGAGTGGAGGACAGAGGAGCCTCTTAAATAAGAAGTTACAGGTCTGTGAGAGCAAGAAATATTGCTTGTTTGTAGGTGACCAAATACTTATTTTCCACCATCATTTGCAAATAAATTCATTAAAAATCCTACAATGTGATTTTCTGGATTTCTTTTTCTCAATTTGTCTGTCATAGTTGACGTGTACCTATGATGAATATTACAGGCCTCTCTCATCTTTTTAAGTGGGAGAACTTGCACAATTGGTGGCTGACTAAATACTTTTTCCCCCCACTGTACATGGCAACACCTCCATTTGCAATTCTATCTTTCCTATATATTCTATAACCATGTATAGCTACTACTTCGTCATCAAAGGAATTATCAAATGTGTTTCAGAGATGGCCAGAATATGAATGTTTTGAGATATTAGTAAGTTGTCAATTTTATGAACCTTGTTTCTCAGGCTACATATGTTAATTTGGGTATTTTTTGTCCTTTTCTGGGTTGCTTGTTTGTTTTTAGTGCTATTCTGAGAGGCTGATCCGAGGTAGACATGCCAGTGACATTTACATTTGAGCCAATGGTACTGAGTGGGCTGTTCACAGTGGGCTTCTTCCTAAGGTAGACAGTTTCAGTGGAAACAGTGGAATTAAATTCTATGGGCTTTTATGATTATTGCTAACAATACTCTTGGAGCTAACAGCCAAAGGAACATAGATTAGTTTACTTACATTGACTGCACTTCTATTTCTCCAGGATATAATACGATTTCCATGTCCTCACTTATTATGACAGGGAGGACTGGAGCGCTACCAAACCCAGACCGTCAGTCTCTTAAGCAGTTTGCTATGTTGATGGAGATCATCCTGGAACCCCTGCGGTTAGGGTGAATCCCGTCTCTTTTAAAGAGAGTGTTGGTTACTCCCACAGCAAGTCAAAAATTGTCACAAAAAGGAGACATTCCCGTCTTTGCAAAGTTTCTTCAGGAACTCGGTTTAGGGCAGCGAGGCGGCTGTAACGTTCCAAACCCCTTCAATAGCACGGCAGGAGGCCAGAGATGATTATTGTCTTCCCTGTGCCAACAAAGGATGTTCAAGAGAATGTTGTAGTCTTTCTTCAGTTCCTCAGATTGCCTAAAGCGAATGTCGTTAAATCCAACGTGAGTGACGACGGCGCCAATATTAGAGTAGTTAGCTAGAACTGTAGGGCTGGAGGGAGTCGATGTCTCAGACACAGGCGCCTGGGTGACAGTGGACCTTGGTCGGCCCACAGGCCGTAGACAGGCCAAAGTCTCTCACCATCGAGCTGCCCACGACGACGGTGGTCGTGATGGATCTGATGGGGAAGGAGGAGGGGGGAAAAAGAACGGGACTGCCTCAGGCAGGGGGGGGGGGGGGAGCTTTGATCCAGCCTGACTCACCGCACACGCAACAGTGGCAGCGGATGGTGTTGGAATCCCATGGGGAGGTGAGGAGGGCCCAACACCCTGCTTCCTTTGGTCAGCAACCGGCTGAGCTGTGGAGGAGGGTGCCACTGGTCGGCTGCTGACCGTTGGTATACTCCCAGGACCAGAGCTGACTCCCGGGCCGGTGGGTCCGCCTCCAGCAAGGCAAAGCTGTTTAATAGCTGGATGGGATCTTCCAGACTGCCTCCCTCCCGACCCCCTATGCCTTCCCAGTGTCCAGTCTCCCACGTGCCGCAGAGTTGAGCTTACCATCTGTCCAGTGGATTGGAGCAGGTCAGCACCGCTCGACTCATCAACACCTTGGCTGTAGGAGGCATTGAGAACTGAGATTCTGGGTGCCTGAGCTCCATTGAAATACTTCTTGTTTTTTCCTCGCAGCTGAGCTAGCCGCCGGAAAATCTCTTCCCTAAGCTGCTTGATGATGATGCATTTGGGACAGATGAAGAATTGATGTTCATTTATAAATTCCACCTCATCTTCCTCCTCTTGCGTAGAGTTAATCTCGCACCTAGCGCATTTGAACCCAGACGTACACACAAACACCACTGGTGTTTTGACTCTAGCTCTGCTAGCATTAACGTGCTGTGTTTGCTCTGTTAGCGTGATGGCTAACCGCTAACTATTGTACTGTTTTAGCAGAAATCCAGGACACAAACTTGCGGTCCCAGGAAGTCAGCCTCTGGATGTACGTTTTCCTGCTTGTTTACAGCCTCGTACAGTTGCTTAAGTGCCAGCTTGTTATATTTCTTGTCCTGAGGTGGAATGTAAACAAAAGTCACGATAACAGCTGAAAACTTCCTCGGGAGGTAGACGGGTCAGCATTTGACCATCAGGTATTCCATGACGGGTGAACAATGGGTCGAGACTACCACCGCGCTCGACTCAGCACACCGTCTGTTGTTGATGAAGAGGCAAACCCCTCCCCCTCTCATTTCTCTGACTCTACTGTCCTGTCCGCTCGGTGAATGGAAGAGAGAAGCGAGATAAATAAAAGGAAAATCCTATAGAAACAGAATAAAAAGCTCATGTTGAACGTCAATAATATTTATGACTTACTATGTCATAAAGTGCCTGGCAGCAAACGGAGGACAACAACAGAGATGAACACTAGAGGGTACACACACACAGACTTACAACAAGCACTCAGACATAGCATACTGTACATACCAACCACACCTACCTGCCATGTAGTGGAAGCCCGTGGAAGGTCTGTGATTGTGGCAGCTGGCAGGGAGGGTAGTCTCTGTCTCGGTCTCCCTGATAGATCTGGGGCTGGTGTGGGTGTGACCCGTGCAGGGAGTTGGTGGTACGCCTCCTGGGGGGTCCCCTGTTGTCCTGGCCCTGTCCCTTCCCCCCCGACCCCGACCCCGCCCCTACCCCACCCAGGGTGTTCCTCAGGTACCAGTCCCTCAGGCCCTCCAGAGCCAGGGCCTTGTGCAGGCTGCGGATGGGGTCGTCTGGGGTGACGGAGTCAGAGTACTGGGGTGGTCCGAGCTGGTGGTTGTGGTTGAGATGGGGACCGGGTCCTGATCCAGACCCATGCTGGTGCTGGTAGGACTCAACCCCAGAACCCCGGTGGGGATACAGGGCAGCTGTGGAGGTCCCGGTGGAGGAGGAGGAGGAGGTGGGAGGGAGAGGAGGGTCAGAGGAGGTGTAAGAGGAGAAGAGGAGCGCTTCCTGGTGGTGTTGCTGTAGAGGGATGAATGGACCACACGACTTGGTACGGGTTACCTTGACCCGGCGTGGCTCCCCAAGCTTCCCCCGGAGCATCAGGGGGCTGGAGTAGGCTGGCGGGCCCCCAGAGACATGCTGGGGCCCTGGGAGATGTCCCTGGGGGTGGGGGTGAGAAGGAGGAGGTACAGGGACAGAGGAAGGGACCTGCTGGACTCGTCTCTGCTGCTGCTGCTTCCCCCACACATAGTCCATCAGGATATCACTGTAACCTCCGCCTCCCCCTCCCCCTCCCTGCTCATAGGACCCTGACGGGGGGCCAGGGGAGGGGCCAGGGGAGGGGGAGGGGCCGCCAACCTGAGACTGATGAGGAACCACCTGGGTCACCTCTGGATTGTCTGACCACTGCTTGGTAGTCGTCACGGTGGATATAGCTGACCTGGGAAGTAAAGAGATACATAAACACGGAAGGAAAGAGATACATACAGTGAGGGGAAAAAAGTATTTGATCCCCTGCTGATTTTGTAAGTTTGCCCACTGACAAAGACATGATCAGTTTATAATTTTTGATGGTAGGTTTATTTGAACAGTGAGAGACAGAATAACAACAAAATAATCCAGAAAAACGCATGTCAAAAATGTTATAAATTGATTTGTATTTTAATGAGGGAAATAAGTATTTGACCCCCTCTCAATCAGAAAGATTTCTGGCTCCCAGGTGTATTTTATACAGGTAACGAGCTGAGATTAGGAGCACACTCTTAAAGGGAGTGCTCCTGATCTCAGCTTGTTACCTGTATAAAAGACACCTGTCCACAGAAGCAATCAATCAATCAGATTCCAAACTCTCCACCATGGCCAAGACCAAAGAGCTCTCCAAGGATGTCAGGGACAAGATTGTAGACCTACACAAGGCTGGAATGGGCTACAAGACCATCGCCAAGCAGCTTGGTGAGAAGGTGACAACAGTTGGTGCGATTATTCGCAAATGGAAGAAACACAAAATAACTGTCAATCTCCCTCGGCCTGCGGCTCCATGCAAGATCTCACCTCGTGGAGTTGCAATGATCATGAGAACGATGAGGAATCAGCCCAGAACTACACGGGGGGATCTTGTCAATGATCTCAAGGCAGCTGGGACCATAGTCACCAAGAAAACAATTGGTAACACACTACGCCGTGAAGGACTGAAATCCTGCAGCGCCCGCAAAGTCCCCCTGCTCAAGAAAGCACATATACAGGCCCGTCTGAAGTTTACCAATGAACATCTGAATCATTCAGAGGAGAACTGGGTGAAAGTGTTGTGGTCAGATGAGACCAAAATCGAGCTCTTTGGCATCAACTCAACTCGCCGTGTTTGGAGGAGCAGGAATGCTGCCAATGACCCCAAGAAAACCATCCCCACTGTCAAACATGGAGGTGGAAACATTATGCTTTGGGGGACAGGACAACTTCACCGCATCAAAGGGACGATGGACGGGCCATGTACCGTCAAATCTTGGGTGAGAACCTCCTTCCCTCAGCCAGGGCATTGAAAATGGGTCATGGATGGGTATTCCAGCATGACAATGACCCAAAACACACGGCCAAGGCAACAAAGGAATGGCTCAAGAAGAAGCACATTAAGGTCCTGGAGTGGCCTAGCCAGTCTCCAGACCTTAATCCCATAGAAAATCTGTGGAGGGAGCTGAAGGTTCGAGTTGCCAAACGGCAGGCTCGAAACCTTAATGACTTGGAGAAGATCTGCCAAGAGGAGTGGGACAAAATCCCTCCTGAGATGTGTGCAAACCTGGTGGCCAACTACAAGAAACGTCTGACCTCTGTGATCGCCAACAAGGGTTTTGCCACCAAGTACTAAGTCATGTTTTGCAGAGGGGTCAAATTCTTATTTCCCTCATTAAAATGCTAATCAATTTATAACATTTTTGACATGCGTTTTTCTGGATTTTTTTGTTGTTATTCTGTCTCTCACTGTTCAAATAAACCTACCATTAAAATTATAGACTGATCATGTCTTTGTCAGTGGGCAAACGTACAAAATCAGCAGGGGATCAAATACTTTTTTCCCTCACTGTAAATCGTTTTGGACACTAGTGGGTTAGGGTTAGTTCTATAGATTAAGACTTGAGCTCACCTGACGTGATTGTGAACATCTGATGTGGTTTAGGGTTCGTTTTATAGATTAAGAGCTCTAATTAATCAGATCTGCTTTAGCTGACATCCGCATAGCCGTTGTTGGAGGTGGAACTGTGTTGGAGCCGTCAAATCCACAAGTGGCTCCCAGCATTATACCTAAAGCGGGCATTGCCATTGGCTGCACGGTGTTCCATTATACCTAAAGCGGGCATTGCCATTGGCTGCACGGAGTCCCATTATACCTAAAGCGGGCATTGCCATTGGCTGCACAGAGTCCCATTATACCTAAAGCGGGCATTGCCATTGGCTGCACAGAGTCCCATTATACCTAAAGCGGGCATTGCCATTGGCTGCACGGAGTCCCATTATACCTAAAGCGGGCATTGCCATTGGCTGCACAGAGTCCCATTATACCTAAAGCGGGCATTGCCATTGGCTGCACAGAGTCCCATTATACCTAAAGCGGGCATTGCCATTGGCTGCACAGAGTCCCAGTAACAGAACTCCCATGCAGATGTAATCTACACCTCGATTAGGCTGACAGAAATCTTCATTATTTAGTTTAATGATTTTTTTATTTGAGTTTCATTATTTCTATATAGCTACACTTTCATTCTGAACTTCTAACTTGAGTGGGGCGGGTGTTGCTTCGTGTGACAATGATCACAAGAGAAGCTGCTCACCGATTTGACGGCTCCAACCTGGTTCCACCTCAGACAACGGCTATGCGGATGTCAGCTAAAGCAGATCTGATTAAATAGAGCTCTTAATCTATAAAACGAACCCTAAACCACATCAGATGTTCACAATCACATCAGGTGAGCTCAAGTCTTAATCTTAAACTGCCAAAACATCTGCTAAGCGGGGGTGTGTCTGCTACCACCGGTTAATGCTTGATCTGATTTCATCTAGACTTGAGCTCACCTGATGTGGTTGCGGACACCTGTGGGTCCGTTCCGAGCGAGAAGGGGTGTGGCGGGTACACTCCTCCCCTCCATATTGCTTCTGGGGGAAGAGAGTCCGACACACACAGCAAGAGTCTGCGTTAGGACTACAACATATCCACAGTGGGATAAGTTAGAATGTATGAAACTGGGCCACAACATCGCTCCCCCCCTGTGTATCAGTGGCTTCCTGGAACTTTTGATTGGAAAGAAGAGCCGTTATACACCGAGTGTACAAAACATTAGGAACACCTGCTCTTTCCACGACAGACTGACCAGGTGAATGCTATGATTGATGTCACCTGTTAAATCCACTTCAATCAGTGTAGATGAAGGGGAGGAGACAGGTTAAAGAAGGATTTTTAAGCCTTGAGACAATTGAGACATGGATTGTGTATGTGTGCCATTCAGAGGGTGAATGAGGCAAGACAAAATATTTAAGTGCCTTTGAACGGGGTATGGTAGTAGTTGCCAGGCGCACCGGTTTGAGTGTGTCAAGAACTGCAACGCTGCTGGGTTTTTCACGCTCAACAGTTTCCCGTGTGTATCAAGAATGGTCCACCACCCAAAGGACATGCAGCCAACGGCAGGCCAGTGGTCGAAAACAGGTCATTGATGAAAGAGGACAAAGGAGGCTGAGCAACAGACGGGCTACAGTTAGTCGACTGCCAGTCCAGTACAACACTGGTGCCCAAACTCGTTGTACCTTGACACGAATGGGGTATGGCAGCTGACAACCTTACAGAGTTACACTTCTATCAGCAAAAAACAAGACACTGCGGTTGCAGTGGACTAAGGAACGAAAACTCTGGGCACTGGAAAAACATTCCCTGGTCTGATGAATCCCAGTTCCTGCTGTTTCACACTAATGGGAGAAAACCACGTGAGTACCTGCATCCATCATGCCGCGTGTCAACATGGCAGGCTGGTGGTGGTGGTGTGGGGTGTGTTTTCATGGCACACAATGGGCCCCTTGATAAAAGTGGTGCAACATTTGAATGCCAAAGGATATCTGGAGATCATTGCCAATCAGGTGCATCCCTTCATGGCTGCAGTTTATCCATCTGCAAATTGATTTTTTTCCAGCAGGATAACGCCCCATGGCACAAGGCTAGGATTGTCCAGGAATGGTTCCACGAACATGACAGTGAATTTAGCTTACTGCAGTGGCCTGCCCAGTCACCAGATCTCAATCCAACTGAGCATCTGTGAGATGAGATGGAACGAGCCATTCGGAGTACAGATCCACTACCAGCCAACTAGACACAACTGGGGGAAGCATTGGAGTCAACATGGGCCAGCATCCCTGTGGAACGGCTTTCAACACCTTGTAGAGTTCATTATTATTATTATTATATTATATTATATGCCCTGACGAATTGAGGCTGTTCGGAGGGCAAAACGGGGTGCAACTCAATTTTAGGAAGGTGTTCCTAATTTTCTGTACACTCAGCGTAGATGTGGATAGAATAGATGGTTCCTAGTTGCAAATAGATGCAATGCTACCTGGCGGTTTGTACTGACTAGTTTGGATCATCTGTTTGTACATACAGTAGTTTATTAGTTTACTTTGTACAGTTATATTGTATGACATTTGCTTTGCTTGCTCTTTGGGGTTTTAGGCTGGGGTATCTTTAAAGAACTTTGTGACAACTGCTGATGTAAGAAAAGGGCTTTATAAAATAAATGTGATTGACTGATTGACTGATTGATATTGGGTCATAGTATGAAAAAAAAAGATGTCTGCACTCACTAACTGTAAGTGGCTCTGGATAAGAGCGTCTGCTAAATGACGTAAATGTAAAAATGTAAATAACTGCATCAGTACCTGGCAGAGTGGGCCAGCGAGTTGTGTGGCGTTGTGGTTCTCATGGCATAATAGACCTCAACAGGAGAAAGCTTCCTACACAGCCTGTTGTCTGGACTGCTGCTGCTGCCATTACCAGGGGCCACCCGGGGCCGAGACGGGGACACACAGTCAGGCGTCACACCCGAAGACTCATCTAGAGAGAGAGAGAGCGAGCGAGAGAAAAGAGATGGATGAAAGTTTGGTGAGGACTGAAAGTAAACCTTTGCATCACTAGGATGTACTGTATTTAACATGACCGGGATGTACGGTATTTAAAGCATACCGGGATGTACCTGGTATTAGAACATGTACCGGGATTACTGTTATTTTAACATGACCGGGATGTACTTTATTTAACATGACCGGGATGTAGTGTAATTTAAAACATGACCGGGATTGTACTGTATTTAACATGACCGTGATGTACTGTATTTAACAGACCGGGATGTACTGTATTTAACATGACCCGGGATGTACTTGTATTTAACATGACCGGGATGTACTGTACTTTAACATGACCGGGATGTACTAGTATTGAACAATGACCCGGGATGTACGGTAATTTAACATGACCGGTGGAATGTAACTGTATGTAAATGACCGGGATGTACTGTATTTACCATGACCAGGGATGGTACTGTATGTGAAACATGACCGTGAATTACTGTATTTAACATGACGGGATGTACTGTATTTAACATGACCGGGATGTACTGTATTTAACATGACCGGGATGTACTGTATTTAACATGACCGGGATGTACTGTATTTAACATGACCGGGATGTACTGTATTTTAACATGACCGGGATGTACTGTATTTAACATGACCGGGATGTACTGTATTTAACATGACCGGGATGTACTGTATTTAACATGACCGGGATGTACTGTATTTAACATGACCGGGATGTACTGTATTTAACATGACCGGGATGTACTGTATTTAACATGACCGGGATGTACTGTATTTAACATGACCGGGATGTACTGTATTTAACATGACCGGGATGTAACTGTATTTAACATGACCGGGATGTACTGTATTTAACATGACCGGGATGTACTGTATTTAACATGACCGGGATGTACTGTATTTAACATGACCGGGATGTACTGTATTTAACATGACCGGGATGTACTGTATTTAACATGACCGGGATGTACTGTATTCTGGTATTTAACATGACCGGGATGTACTGTATTTAACATGACCGGGATGTACTGTATTTAACATGACCGGGATGTACTGTATTTAACATGACCGGGATGTACTGTATTTAACATGACCGGGATGTACTGTATTTAACATGACTAGGATCTACTTTTAGTGTCCTCGTATAGTCTTACCATTGTCATGGTCCCCTGTAGAATCAGATATGGAGCTGCTCTCCGAGTTCACTGTGTCATCTGTGGAGGGATACACACACACACACACACACACACACACACACACACACACACACACACACACACACACACACACACACACACACACACACACACACACACACACACACACACACACACACACACACACACACACACACTCCCTTATATCTAAATCTTAACCTGAAATCTGTGCCTTGTGACTTGAGTCACATTCCATGCAAATCTCCTATAAGAATCAGTCCATGATGGACATGGTTTAGAATTGCTCTGCATATCTCCGGTAGGATTCAGCTCTCACCGTGTACTCACAAACCACGTGGGCTGCACCTGCGTACGGCGCCCACTTGTCTATATAGTAATGCACTACCTTTGACCAGCCAGGACAAAAGTAGTGCACGAAAACACAGTCTGGACAAAAGTAGTGCACTAAATAGGGAATAGGGTGCCATTTCAGACTCCGCCCGCTCGGTGGAGTGAGTCAGGTGGTAGTTACATAAATGGTAGCATTGTTCTCTGTCTGTCACCATGCCTCCATGCGCTTTCCCTGGATATCATGTGCGTCATCCCAGTAATAATGAGACTTTTTCTGACTTCCTCCTCTCCTCTGTAACAATTCTCCCTCCCTCCCTCCTCCCTCCCTCCCCCCCCCTCCCTCCCTCGCCCTCCCTCCCTCGCCCCCTCTCTCCCTCGCCCCCTCTCTCCCTCCCTCCCTCCCTCCCCCTCCCTCGCCCCCTCCTCCCTCCCCCTCGCCCCTCCCTCCCTCCCCCTCCCTCGCCCCCTCCCCCTCCCTCCCTCGCCCCCTCCCCCTCCCTCCCTCCCTCGCCCCCTCTCTCCCTCCCGCCCCCTCCCTCGCCCCCTCCCTCGCCCCCTCTCTCCCTCCCTCCCTCGCCCTCCCTCCCTCGCCCTCCCTCCCTCCCTCGCCCTCCCTCCCCCGACTATGGGGTTAAAGTACAGACTGTCAGCTTTAATTTGAGGGTATTTTCATTAATATTGTTTAGAAATTACAACTCTTTTTGACCCCACATTTTAGGATTGGGACAAATTCACTTTTTATGTTTATAAAAGTAGTAATAAGTTTATGAATGGTAAATAATGTATTGTCATTTTGGAGTCACTTTTATTGTAAATAAGAATACAATTTGTTTCTAAACACTTCTACAGTAATGTGGATGCTACCATGATTACGGATAATCCTGAATAAATCGTGATTAATGATGAGTGAGAAAGACAGATGCACAAATATCATAGCCCCAAGACATGTTCAACCTCTCACCATGACAATAAAACGGGAGGTTAGCATGTCTTGTGGCTATGATATTTGTGCGTCTGTAACTTTCTCACTCATCGTTAATTAATTAATTAGAAACATATTCTATTGTTATTTACAATAAAAGTCACTCCAAAATGACACAATACGTTATTTACCATTAATGTCTATTGGGCACAACTAAAACAAACAGAAAATGCATCCAACAAATTTGTAGAGTTACAATCTTGAAGTAGTCATTATGTGCTGGGAATATAGGACCAAATACTAAGCTTTTTATTACTTTTATACACAATCAGTTAGGAAAGCAAAGGCTAGCTTTTTCAAACAGAAATGTGCATCCTGTAGCACTAACTCCAAAAAGTTTTGGGACATTGTAAAGTCCATGGAGAATAAGAGCACCTCCTCCCAGCTGCCCACTGCACTGTGGCTAGGAAACACTGTCACCACCGATAAATCTACAATAATCGAGAATTTCAACAAGCATTTTGCTACGGCTGGCCATGCTTTCCACCTGGCTACCACTACCCCGGCCACCAGCTCTGCACCCTCCGCTGCAACTTGCCCATGCCCCCCCCCGCTTCTCCTTCACACAAATTCAGACAGCTGATGTTCTGAAAGAGCTGAAAAATCTGGACCCCTACAAATCAGCTGGGCTAGACAATCTGGACCCTTTCTTTCTAAAACTAGCTGCCGAAATTGTCGCAACCCCTATTACTAGCCTGTTCAACCTCTCGTTCGTAACGTCTGAGATCCCCAGAGATTGGAAAGCTGCCGCAGTCATCCCCGTCTTCAAAGGGGGTGACACTCTAGATCCAAACTGTTACAGACCTATATCCATCCTGCCCTGCCTTTCGAAAGTTTTTGAAAGCCAAGTTAACAAACAGATCACCGACCATTTCGAATCCCACCGTACCTTCTCCGCTACGCAATCTGGTTTCCGAGCTGGTCATGGGTGCACCTCAGCCACGCTCAAGGTCCTAAACGATATTATAGCCGCGATCGATAAAAGACAGTACTGCGCAGCCGTCTTCATCGACCTGGCCAAGGCTTTCGACTCCGTCAACCACCGCATTCTTATTGGCAGACTAAATAGCCTTGGTTTCTCAAATGACTGCCTCGCCTGGTTCACCCAACTACTTCTCAGATAGAGTTCAATGTGTCAAATCGCAGGGTCTGTTGTCTGGACCTCTGGCAGTCTCTATGGGGGTGCCACAGGGTTCAATTCTTGGGCCGACTCGAGAATTGAATTTTGTCGCTCTTGCTGCTGGTGACGCTCGGATCCACCTCTATGCGGACGACACCATTTTGTATACATCTGGCCCTTCATTGGACACTGTGTTAACAAACCTCCAAACGAGCTTCAACGCCATACAACACTCCTTCCGTAGCCTCCAACTGCTCTTAAACACTAGTAAAACTAAATGCATGCTCTTCAACTGAATGCTGCTTGCACCCGCCCACCCGACTAGAATCACTACTCTCGGCGGGTCTGACCTAGAGTATGCGGACAACTACAAATACCTAGGTGTCTGGTTAGACTGTAAACTCTCCTTCCAGACTCACATTAAGAATCTCCAATACAAAGTTAAATCTAGAATCGGTTTCCTATTTCGCAACAAAGCTTCCTTCACTCATGCGGCCAAACATGCCCTCGTAAAACTGACTATCCTACCGATCCTTGACTTCGGCAATGTCATTTACAAAATAGCCTCCAACACTCTACTCAGCAAATTGGATGTAGTCTATCACAGTGCCATCCGTTTTGTCTCCAAAGCCCCATACACTACCCACCACTGTGACCTGTACGCTCTTGTTGGCTGGTCCTCACTACATATTCGTTGCCAAACCCACTGGCTCCAGGTCATCTATAAATCACTGCTAGGCAAATCCCCGCCTTATCTTAGCTCACTGGTCACCATAGCAACACCCACCCGTAGTCTGCGCTCCAGCAGGTATATCTCACTGGTCATCCCCAAAGCCAACACCTCCTTTGGCCGCCATTCCTTCCAGTTCTCTGCTGCCAAATACTGGAATGAACTGCAAAAATCTCTGAAGCTGGAGACTCTTATCTCCCTCACTAACTTTAAGCATCAGTTGTCAGAGCACCTTACCGATCACTGCACCTGTACACAGCCCATCTGTAATTAGCCCACCCAACTACCTCATCCCTATATTGTTATTTATTTTGCACTTTTGCACCCCAGTATCTCTATTTGCACATCATCTTTTGCACATCTATCACTCCAGTGTTAATACGAAATTGTAACTATTTTGCACTATGGCCTATTTATTGCCTTACCTTCATAACTTGCTACATTTGCACACACTGTACATATATTTTCTATTGTATTTTTGACTGTACGTTTTGTTTTACCCCATATGTAACTCTGTGTTGTTGTTGTTTTTAAATCGCACTGCTTTGCTTTATCTTGGCCAGGTCGCAGTTGTAAATGAGAACTTGTTCTCAACTGGCTTACCTGGTTAAATAAAGGTTAAATAAATAAAAAGTGAATTTGTCCCAATCCTAAAATGGGGGGACTATGGACAGAAATAGTTGTAATTTCTAAACGGTTCACCTGATATTAATGAAAATACCTTCAAATTAAAGCTGACAGTCCGCACTTTAACCTCATAGTCATTGTTTGATATCAAATACAAACGTTTGAAGTACAGAGGCAAAATAATTTAAAAAACGCTTCACTGTCCCAGTAATTACAGAGTGTATATTACGTTATGTAATAACACCAACTTTCAACCAGTGCAGTCACAGCGATAAGGGGGAGGTTACCTGTGTGTATTTTAACCAGTGCAGTCACAGCAATAAGGGGGAGGTTACCTGTGTGTATTTTAACCAGTGCAGTCACAGCGATAAGGGGGAGGTTACCTGTGTGTAATTTAACCAGTGCAGTCACAGCGATAAGGGGGAGGTTACCTGTGTGTATTTTAACCAGTGCAGTCACAGCGATAAGGGGGAGGTTACCTGTGTGTATTTTAACCAGTGCAGTCACAGTGATAAGGGGGAGGTTGATAAGGGGAGGTTACCTGTGTGTAATTTAACCAGTGCAGTCACAGCGATAAGGGGGAGGTTACCTGTGTGTATTTTAACCAGTGCAGTCACAGCGATAAGGGGGAGGTTACCTGTGTGTATTTTAACCAGTGCAGTCACAGCGATAAGGGGGAGGTTACCTGTGTGTATTTTAACCAGTGCAGTCACAGTGATAAGGGGGAGGTTACCTGTGTGTAATTTAACCAGTGCAGTCACAGCGATAAGGGGGAGGTTACCTGTGTGTAATTTAACCAGTGCAGTCACGGTGATAAGGGGGAGGTTGATAAGGGGGAGGTTACCTGTGTGTAATTTAACCAGTGCAGTCACGGTGATAAGGGGGAGGTTGATAAGGGGGAGGTTACCTGTGTGTAATTTAACCAGTGCAGTCATGGTGATAAGGGGGAGGTTACCTGTGTGTAATTTAACCAGTGCAGTCACAGCGATAAGGGGGAGGTTACCTGTGTGTAATTTAACCAGTGCAGTCACAGCGATAAGGGGGAGGTTACCTGTGTGTTATTTAACCAGTGCAGTCACAGCGATAAGGGGGAGGTTACCTGTGTGTAATTTAACCAGTGCAGTCACAGCGATAAGGGGGAGGTTACCTGTGTGTAATTTAACCAGTGCAGTCACAGCGATAAGGGGGAGGTTACCTGTGTGTATTTTAACCAGTGCAGTCACAGCGATAAGGGGGAGGTTACCTGTGTGTAATTTAACCAGTGCAGTCACAGCGATAAGGGGGAGGTTACCTGTGTGTATTTTAACCAGTGCAGTCACAGCGATAAGGGGGAGGTTACCTGTGTGTATTTTAACCAGTGCAGTCACAGCGATAAGGGGGAGGTTACCTGTGTGTATTTTAACCAGTGCAGTCACAGTGATAAGGGGGAGGTTACCTGTGTGTAATTTAACCAGTGCAGTCACAGCGATAAGGGGGAGGTTACCTGTGTGTAATTTAACCAGTGCAGTCACGGTGATAAGGGGGAGGTTGATAAGGGGGAGGTTACCTGTGTGTAATTTAACCAGTGCAGTCACGGTGATAAGGGGGAGGTTGATAAGGGGGAGGTTACCTGTGTGTAATTTAACCAGTGCAGTCACGGTGATAAGGGGGAGGTTACCTGTGTGTAATTTAAACCAGTGCAGTCACAGCGATAAGGGGGAGGTTACCTGTGTGTAATTTAACCAGTGCAGTCACAGCGATAAGGGGGAGGTTACCTGTGTGTTATTTAACCAGTGCAGTCACAGCGATAAGGGGGAGGTTACCTGTGTGTAATTTAACCAGTGCAGTCACAGCGATAAGGGGGAGGTTACCTGTGTGTAATTTAACCAGTGCAGTCACAGCGATAAGGGGGAGGTTACCTGTGTGTATTTTAACCAGTGCAGTCACAGCGATAAGGGGGAGGTTACCTGTGTGTATTTTAACCAGTGCAGTCACAGCGATAAGGGGGAGGTTACCTGTGTGTATTTTAACCAGTGCAGTCACAGTGATAAGGGGGGAGGTTACCTGTGTGTAATTTAACCAGTGCAGTCACAGCGATAAGGGGGAGGTTACCTGTGTGTAATTTAACCAGTGCAGTCACTGTGATAAGGGGGAGGTTGATAAGGGGGAGGTTACCTGTGTGTAATTTAACCAGTGCAGTCACGGTGATAAGGGGGAGGTTGATAAGGGGGATGTTACCTGTGTGTAATTTAACCAGTGCAGTCACGGTGATAAGGGGGAGGTTGATAAGGGGGAGGTTACCTGTGTGTAATTTAAACCAGTGCAGTCACGGTGATAAGGGGGAGGTTACCTGTGTGTAATTTAACCAGTGCAGTCACAGCGATAAGGGGGAGGTTACCTGTGTGTAATTTAACCAGTGCAGTCACAGCGATAAGGGGGAGGTTACCTGTGTGTTATTTAACCAGTGCAGTCACAGCGATAAGGGGGAGGTTACCTGTGTGTAATTTAACCAGTGCAGTCACAGCGATAAGGGGGAGGTTACCTGTGTGTAATTTAACCAGTGCAGTCACAGCGATAAGGGGGAGGTTACCTGTGTGTAATTTAACCAGTGCAGTCACAGCGATAAGGGGGAGGTTACCTGTGTGTTATTTAACCAGTGCAGTCACGGCAATAAGGGGGAGGTTACCTGTGTGTATTTTAACCAGTGCAGTCACAGCGATAAGGGGGAGGTTACCTGTGTGTAATTTAACCAGTGCAGTCACAGCGATAAGGGGGAGGTTACCTGTGTGTAATTTAACCAGTGCAGTCACAGCGATAAGGGGGAGGTTACCTGTGTGTAATTTAACCAGTGCAGTCACAGCGATAAGGGGGAGGTTACCTGTGTGTATTTTAACCAGTGCAGTCACAGCGATAAGGGGGAGGTTACCTGTGTGTAATTTAACCAGTGCAGTCACGGTGATAAGGGGGAGGTTACCTGTGGTTAGATCCCAGCAGTGCCACTGAAAGGTGGTAAGTTATATATACCTGTGTGGCATCCTCTGTGTACGGTCCTCCTGCTGTGTGTCTGGTGATGATCAGAGTCTACATGTCGTCTCAGGGCACCACTCAACAGATTCTTCTTAGGTTTCCTCTGACACTCCTCCTCCTCCTACTCATCACAAGATGGGGTTTATTTACAGACTTCTTCACATTCAGTGTTCTACACCATTCAGTGTTCTACACCATTCAGTGTTCTACACCATTCAGTGTTCTACACCATTCAGTGTTCTACACCATTCAGTGTTCTACACCATTCAGTGTTCTACACCATTCAGTGTTCTACACCATTCTCGTAGAGGTACAAAACAGGACTTTCACTCAACATTCTCTCACCCTACAATCCATCTGGAAAATGATCATTTGTCAGAGATAACAGGTTGAAATTAGGAGGGGGGCAGTTGTGCTTTCTGGGTAGAATGTATCAGTTTGTGTGGTAATATTCACAATCCTCCTTTACCTCTGACTTTATAACAGTCTTGGGTCCGTGGCGGTATGATCCGACCCGTTGGCGTACCTTGGAGCGTCTCTCCCCTGCCTCCAGGGGGAAATCACCAGGAAGCTCTCCTGTCAGCTCCTGTTATAGATGAATACACCACATTAACAGGAGAGATCACCAGGAAGCTCTCCTGTCAGCTCCCGGAGAGGACAAACATAGACACAGAACATGACCATAACATGACCATAACATGACCATAACATTACCGATACAATACAATAACATGACCATAACATTACCAGAACATGACCATAACATTACCAGAACATGACCAGAACATTACCAGAACATGACCGGAACATGACCAGAACATTACCGGAACATGACCAGAACATTAACAGAACACACTAGTCAACGGCGAGTGCACTGACCGTCTCCTGCAGACAGACCCTCCGTAGCTCAGCCAGTCTGGTATTCAGTAGAGTCTCCAGACTGCGTTTTCTCTCCTGTAGTTCTGTCATCCTTTCGACACGCTGCTCATCTCCCTCCGGACCGCCACCCAGCAGGTCTACAGAACACACCAAGGGTAGTGGGTTCAATCCCCGGGACCACCCATACACAAAAAAATTTATGCACGCATGACTGTAAAATCGCTTTGGATAAAAGCGTCCGCTAAATGGCATATTATTATTACATTATATTATGACGTGTTAAGTGTTGATCAAACAGGGCTATACATACATTCACTAAAAACGAATGCCTAAAATTACTATCACTAAATTAGGTATATAAAATAATGTCTTATTTCCTCACCAGGCACTGAGATGAGATGACCCTTGACCTCCATGTCAGGTGTGTTCCATGTGACCTCGCTGCTCTCAGTGCATCCCAACAGATCACTCACCTACACACACACACACACACACATTTACATTACATTTTAGTCATTTAGCAGACGCTCTTATCCAGAGCGACATACAGTTAGTGAATACATATTAATTTTTTTATACTGGCCCCCTGTGGGAATCGAACCCACAACCCTTGCGTTGCAAACGCCATGCTCTATCAACTGAGCTACATCCCTGCCGGCCATTCCCTCCCCTACCCTAGACGACACTGGGCCAATTGTGCGCCGCCCATGAGTCTCCCGGTCGCGGCCGGCTGCGACAGAGCCTGGATTCAAACCAGGATCTCCAGTGGCACAGTTAGCACTGCGATGCAGTGCCTTAGACCACTGCGCCACTCAGGAGTACACACACACACACACACACACACACACACACACACACACACACACACACACACACAGAGGGGGGATGGACCACTCCAGTCCTTGGGGGCCACAGTGTCTGCTGGTGTTTGTCCTTGTTTTTCTAAAATCAGGTTTCGACCTAGAAAACTGGTGTGTATACTTGTGTGTTACGGAGTGGCAGGCAAGAGGGACGCTATACCGCTGCTGGCTGGGCTGTATTCAGCACAGTACTGCAGTACTGATACAGGCCTGACGGGGGCGCCACTCAACAGTACTGATACAGGCCTGACGGGGGCGCCACTCAACAGTACCGATACAGGCCTGCTCTGTTTACAACAACAAAGCTTCATGAGAAACCAGGCAACTGCATGTTGGAGAGTGGAGGCAGAGTTGAACCAAAGCTGTGTAAATAAAGGTTAAAGGATTGCGCTGAATCAGGATGGGGTTATATTGTTGGAGAATAAGGACTAGTTTCAGACTGTCAGTGAGACAGAAAAAGGAACCCCCATGTTTACTCAAAACACAGCTAGACTGAGACGGAGAGATGGAGAGATGGAGAGATGTTTTGTGTTATGAGATGTGTTGTGATATAGGATTGATTAAAGGCTTGTCGTGTTTCAGTGCAACACTGCACTCCACGACCCCTCTTTCCAACCAACCAAGCAATCACAGGCCTGTCCAGACGCAACCCTTAGCCCCTAGGCACCTCTCCCCTCTCCCTCTCCCTCTCCCCCTCCCTCTCCCCTCCTCCCTCCTCCTCTCCCCTCTCCCCTATCCCCTCTCCCCTCTCCCTCTCCCCTCTCCCCTATCCCCTCCTCCCTCTCCCCTCCTCCCTCTCCCTCCTCCCCTCTCCCCTCTCCCTCTCCCTCTCCCTCCCCCTCCCCCCTCCCCCTCTCCCCCCCTCCTCTCCCCTCTCCCCTCTCCCTCTCCCCTCTCCCTCCTCCCTCTCCCTCCCTCCTCTCCCTCCTCCCCTCTCCCCTATCCCCTCTCCCTCTCCCCTATCCCCTCTCCCTCCTCCTCTCCCCTATCCCCTCTCCCTTCTCCCCTCTCCCTCTCCCTTCTCCCCTCCCCCCTCTCCCTCTCCCTCTCCCCTCTCCCTCCTACTCTCCCTCTCCCCTCTCCCTCTCCCCTCTCCCCTCCCTCCCTCCCTCTCCCTCTCCCCTCTCCCTCCCTCTCCCCTCTCCCTCTCCCCCTCTCCCTCTCCCTCTCCCCCTCTCCCCTCTCCCTACTCCCTCTACCCTCTCCCCTCTCCCCTCTCCCTCTCCCTCCTCCTCTCCCTCCTCCCCTCCTCCTCTCCCCTCTCCCCTCCCCTCTCCCCCGTCTCCCCCTCTTCTCCCCCCTCCTTCCCCTCCCCCTCTCCTCTTCCCCTCCTCCCTCCTCCCCTCCTCCCCCCCTCCCCTCCCTCCCTCTCCCTCCTCCTCCCCTCCCTCTCCCCTCTCACCCTCCTTCCCTCTCCCCCTCTCCCCTCTCCCCTCCTCCCTCTCCCTCCCCCTCCTCCCTCTCCCTCCTCTCCCTCCCTCTCCCTCCTCCCCTCTCCTCGTCCCTCTCCCTCTCCCCCCCCCCCCCTCCTCCCTCCTCCCCTCTCCCCCTCCCCTCCTCCCTCTCCCTCTCCCCTCCCATCCCCCTCCCCTCCCCCTCTCCCCCTCCGCTCCTCCCTCTCCCCTCCTCCCTCTCCCCTCTCCCCTCTCCCTCCTCCCTCTCCCCTCTCCCCTCTCCCTCTCCTCTCCTCCTCCCTCTCCCTCTCCCTCTACCCTCCTCCCCTCCTCCCTCTCCCCTCTCCCTCTCCCCTCTCCCTCTCCCTTAGCCCCTAATCCTGTGAAAGGATTAGATAGATGTAAGCAATTTCACCTTTAGCCTGGAAAAAAATTAAAGTAAAAGAAAAAGTACTCAATTGTCAGAAACCTTAAAAGAAAATGACTCAAGTAAAAGTGAAATAGTAAAAATAAATACTACTTAGTATTTGGTTTACAATGTACTTGAGTATCAAAAGTAAATGGAACTGCTAAAATGTACTTAAGTAAAAGTATAAACCATTTCAAATTCCGTATATTAAGCAAACCAGCCGGCACAATTCTATTTTATTTTTAATTGACGGTTAGCCAGGGGCACACTCCAACACTCAGACATCATTTACAAACAAAGCATTTAGTGAGTCCGCCAGATCAGAGGCAGTAGAGATGACCAGGGATGTTCTCTTGATAAGTGTGTGAATTCAACCATTTTCCTGTCAAAATGTAACGAGTACTTTAAGGGTGTCGGGGAAAATATATGGAGTAAAAAGTACATTATTTTCTTTAGGAATGCAGTGAAGTAAAAGTAAAAGTTGTAAAAAATATAAATAGTTAAGTAAAGTACAGATACCTAGGTCTAGGGAGTAGGGGGCTAGGGAGTAAGGGGCTAGGGAGTAGGGGGCTAGGAAGCAGGGTCTAGGGAGTAGGGGGCTAGGGAGTAGGGGTCTAGGGAGTAGGGGTCTAGGGAGTAGGGGGCTAGGTTATTTTTTGTGGCCGGCCCTACTACAAGGATGACCCTGGGGTGCCTGGGAACAGGAAGTGAACAGGAAACAGGAACAGAAAACGCGTCATCAAGCAGGAAGTCAGAGAGGGAAACAGAACAGAGAGGAGGAGAGACATAACACTGAAGAACAGAAATAATACACACACACACACACACACACACACACACTAAAGAACAGAAATACACTATATATACAAAAGTATGTAGACAACCCTTCAAATTAGTAGATTCAGCTATTTCAGCCACACCCGTTGCTGACAGGTGTATAAAATCGAGCACAGAGCCATGCAATCTCCATAGACAAACATTGGTAGTAGAATGGCCTTACTGAAGAGCTCAGTGACTTTCAACGTGGCACCGTCACAGGATGTCACCTTTCCAACAAGTCAGTTCATCATATTTCTGCCCTGCTAGAGCTGCCCCGGTCAACTGTAAGTGCTGTTATTGTGAAGTGGAAACGTCTAGGAGCAACAACGGCTCAGCCGGCGAAGTCGTAGGCCACACAAGCTCACAGAACGGGACCGCCGAGTGCTGAAGCACGTAGTGCGTAAATATCGTCTGTCCTCGGTTGCAACACTCACTACCGAGTTCCAAACTGCCTCTGGAAGCAACGTCAGCACAATAACTGTTCGTCGGGAGCTTCATGAAATGGGTTTCCATGGCCGAGCAGCTGCACACAAGCCTAAGATCACCATGCACGATGCCAAGCGTCGGCTGGAGTGGTGTAAAGCTTGCCGCCATTGGACTCTGGAGCAGTGGAAACGTGTTCTCTCGAGTGATGAATCACCCTTCACCATCTGTCAGTCCGACGGACAAATCTGGGTTTGGCAGATGCCAGGAGAACGAACGCTTCCTGCCGAATGCATAATGGCAACTATAAAGTTTGGTGGAAGAGGAATAATGGTCTGGGGCTGTTTTTCATGGTCGGGCTAGGCCCCCTGGTTCCAGTGAAGGGAAATCTTAACGCTACAGCATACAATGACATTCTAGATGATTCTGTGCTTCCAACCTGGTGGCAACAGTTTGGGGAAGGCCCTTTCCGGTTTCAGCATGACGATTCCCCCCCGTGTAGAAGGCAAAGTCTATCAAGAAATGGTTTGTTGAGATCGCTGTGGAAGAACTTGACTGGGGGGGACCAACTCCATATGAATGCCCATGATTTTGGAATGAGATGTCCAATGAACAGGTGTCCACATACTTTTGGTCATGTAGTGAATCAATAGATACACACACCATAACACTAAAGAACATCAATAATACACAGAAATCTATTCCCTACATAGTGCACTACTTTTGACCAGAGCCCTATGGGGCTAGGTTGCCATTTGGGACGTGTAGCTCAGTTGGTAGAGCATGGCACTTGCAATGCCAGGGTTGTGGGTTCGATTCCCAAGGGGATAAAGTATGATAAATGTATGCATTCACTACTATAAGTGGCTCCAGATAAAGAGTGTCTGCTAAATTTGTGGTAGACCAGACAATCAGAACGGAACAGAATAACTAAATACCTGTGAAACCTCCCAGACTCCAGTAAGCAATGTGGTGACAATCTAGCAGGACCGTTATATATCACTTGGTCAACTACACTTAGCGTAAACAATGATTATCCTGCTTGTTCCTGTTGAACAGATCTGGGAGAGGACAACTCCTAACATATAATTACAACAGATAGAGAGAGAGAGAGAGAGAGAGAGAGGAGAGAGAGAGAGAGAGAGAGAGATAGAGAGAGCAGAGAGAGAGAGAGAAGAGAGACGA